CCTTGTATCACTCCTCAACTACAATCAGGTGACATCTTATTGATAGAGAATATCGGGTAGACATCTTGAACTCCTTCATGATAATAAACAAACAGGTTGGGATCAAGCTTCTTGAAGTTAACAGAAGCCATTGCAACAGAATTGTGTTAGGACCCAATTTGAGTATTCCAAAATGAACCTTAGTCTCTCCCTACCTTGACAATTTGGCTATTGATCTTTGATTGATCACATTACCTGCAATTATCTATAAGTGTTTTTCTTATTATTCAGTCATACCGTCAATTCTAAACAATACACCTCAGATGTACTATACCTAACTAAATGAGCTTAACTCAGAATGTATTTCTTGGCATATTTCATTTTGTTTATCAATAATTTCCTAATGGGAAGCCGTGACCAGTAGGGTACAGCAGGTTGAAGGTGAGGCAGTAACTCATCGAAGAAGACATTGCGAAGTGGTCGCGCTATGTCATGAAATGGCAGAGGTTAGAATTTATGGGCTGGCCATTGAATGAGGTCCCAGTGGCTTAATGGTCTACGAGCTAACTCACCTTGTAACCAGAAGGTCCTGAGTACGAACCCCGGTGGGTGTGTACTTCTGAGGAGTCCGAAACTAGGACAAAACAGCTGTCCAGCCTTCACCGGTGGTTTTCCAACGGTCCTCTAACTGATGTCAGCCCATGATGAAATCCTCCAACCAATTTCCTAATGCTTTAAGTGATATATCTTGTTACTGCCTTAGACCTGTTTTTTCCCACCATATTTGACATACATTTGCAACAGTTTATTATACTACAGTAACTAAAAATTCTACTGAATCTTCATACCATGATCCCTATTAATTATTTTTTGACATTTATTTCTTTAATAAACTAAAGTATTTTGGAATTGTAATAATGCTATAATCTGTTATTGTTCGGGTTTTAAGAAGTTGACAAGATACCGACTGATGAAATAACATGGATCCATTTTATCCTGCTCTGTGTTCTTAATTTCGTCAGTGATTCACCAGTGGAATCCCCGCCAACCGCGCATTTGTTCCAGCGTTCGATCCTTGGCCGACTCACTCTTAAACCTCACTTAGCTGGTAGTAGTAGGCCGAGTAAACAGGAGAGGTTGGATGTAAGGCCAACTACGCTATCCCGTAAAAAATGAACACCACTCCTGTTGAAACTTTTTTAAGGCTCAAGTTTGTAGCCCTATGTTTAACTCGGAACGTGAAGGGATAAAATAAAATAAATAAATGTGCTGTTATTGCTTTGTACAATCTGCGAAAGTCAACTGGCATGGATAAACCGGATATACGGAAACCAAAATCACCCGATTGGAAGCTTTTAGATATAATGGAGAAGATTTGTTGCTTAGATTGGTGATTTTGGTGTAAATGTATTTATTTTCTGAGCTGGATGAAGTCAAACTGAAGTATACACATTGAATAAGTTGTCTCGTAAAACAATGGGAGCATTTCAACTAAAGTATTCAACCAACGGAAACACACTACATGCTATTCGACTTATTTGGTGAGTATGTGACTAAATAATTTAGAAAAAATAACTTTTCGATAAAGCAGGGAAGACGAAATTTGCAGTATAAAATGATATCATTCTATTTCACAGGTTCTCATCAGCTGCAGACTACCTGGAATTACAATGGTTATATAAATGATAATAACATACCTTAATGCTTGAGTGGTAGTGGAGAAGAGATACTATAAAAGTGACGCATCCAAAAAAGAATGAAAGCACTACAATTTTTAGTTTAAGTTATCATCATCAATTTATACACTTTAAAGTTGAGAAGAGGGGGTGTGGTGAGTGCTACTTATAACCCGGTATAAGTAGTATATCAGGAGCGAAGTAACAACATGTTTGACACACTGGAAAGAGCATTCAAAGAAGAGAACCATGAGAAGAATGTTGCCATATGATGCAGAATCCAAGAAGCTATCGAATGAGACGATATTCGGCCAATTCGTCAAGGATGTGGTAAAGATGTGCAAATAGCCGGTTGAGAATATGGTATTCCAAATTTAGCTATGTACCATACGTTTCATCAAATAAACATTCCTTTCAGTCTCCTCAGTCTTGTCTTCTTTACAGGGGGAGGGTAAGACAGGAAACCGAAAAATGCCTAAGAGAAAATGGATACCCTAAGGGATTTATACAGAAGGATAGCAGAAAAAAAGAGAAGAAAGAAAAACACACAACTGTAGAAAAGAAAAAGTGTTTATTTATCTCCCATTCAAAGGACATGCAGTGTCACAAAAGATTGACAAAAGACTGAAAGGAGCAATAAATAGAAGCTTCCCGGCAGCAAAACTCATAATAATATACAACACCACTCCTTCTATAATCCACTCAAAACTGGATAAATACCCTGCTGATGTCACCTCCAACTGCGTTTATGAATTTGCGTGCACTTGCGGGAGCAAGTACATTGGAAGGACAGAAAGAAGGGCTTCTATCCGGTTTTCTGAACATATTCCAAGAAACCTATGCCTGAAAGGAAGCAAATATTCTCAGAGTGCAATTACCAGACATATTGTTGATACTGGACATCTCGTAGAGATTTCTAAGTCCTTCAAAATATTAAACAGACAAAGGACAGCAAATTTACTACGATTTGCCGAAGCGATCGCAATCAAACGATTCAAACCAGACTTATGCATACAGAAACAGAGTGTGATTAACCTCTCACTCCCTTGGTAACTGAATTTTGATTAAATTATTTAGTCATCTAATTCAGTGATCTCAACTCACTGAACAAATCTTAATCTCATAAACTGAAACCGCCTTTGATTTTTGGAGTTGCTATGTGAATCTACAAGCTAACACTGTTTCTGTCAATCAACTTTTCTTTTTTCTGTCTTAACCCTCCCCCCTCTTCTCAACTTTAAAGTGTATAAATTGATGATGATAACTTAAACTAAAAATTGTAATGCTTTCATTCTTTTTTGGATGCGTCACTTTTATAGTATCTCTTCTCCACTACCACTCAAGCATTAAGGTATGTTACTATCATTTATATAACCATTGTAATTCCAGGTAGTCTGCAGCTGATGAGAACCTGTGAAATAGAATGATGATATTATTTTATACTGCAAATTTCGTCTTCCTTTCTTTATCGAAATTTACCATGGGAACCAGTTGTATGAAAAAATAACTTTTACTTTCCAAATTTATGAATGAATTCTCAAACTGTCAAAACATTTTGAAATGTCAAAAAAAATAGATAAAAATTACCTTTAGAAAAGATGAACTGTAGTCAGGGAATATTGAACAGGTTGTTGGTTCTACAGGTGATCTGACCAAAACTCCATCAAGATTTTGATAATAACGGTACATTCTAAAGAATTGTCTTTTCAACTTAAGGCCTACAATATATTACAGCATGCCAAGTGATTGAATAATGTTGAGCATGTTGGACAATAAATACTTCAATTAAAAAAAATTTGAGTCACGTCAACGAATATATCTCTTGAACATAGAATTCAAAAGAAATAAGAGTTTTTCGGATACTGGCTCTCATTGACAACTACTCGTTATACATTTATGTCATATTTTTAATGTGATTATTATTATTATCATTTTGATGGTTGCAGAGTATATAATAAGGATCTAGCAGTTGGCTGTACGACTGTCCATAAGCTTCCCTTTCCCTTCTGCTAACACAGCCTCCTCCGTATCATCCTTGGATCCACGGTCGACTTGTCGTCTCCTACTTGAGTTTCCCTAGAGGACGTGAAGAGTGATATCACTTGAATGTCCCCACAGTGTATATTCAGCCTATCTACATTCCCTTCTGCAAATCTTTTTGCTAATAGTTTATCGGTTCCTTCGCTGTCTACCAGAGTTTTTTTGTTGCATATCCCTTCTGACCGGTAACTTTATCTTCAGTATTCAAAGAGATATTATTATTATTGTTTCCTTTAATTCCTAGAGGAATATAAGGCTTCAGCCGTGCGTCTCAATTGCGTTTGGTTCTCTGTTAGAGTCTTCACCTGGCTCCATGTCTGCTCACACGCTTTCATCTCCCCTTCACATCACCTCCTCAAAGTCACCCATACTCACACTGACGACAAACTCGCCGATTCCCTTTCGGGTTCCACACAAGTAATGGCCTATCGTGTGATGTCACTTGATGGCTTCCTTAGAGTATGGCCAAACCATCTCTATTTCTACCTGCTTATTTGTTGCACATTTGGTTCCTGCTGAGTTGGTTCGCTCATTGCCAGAGATCCCTCTCTGTTGCTGATCTTTTCTGGCCGGACATCTGATCTTGAGTGGTATTGAGCGAAGACAACTGTTAATGAAGCTCTGTAGTTTGTTTGAGATGCCCATTATGACTCGCCAAGTCTCTGATCCGTATAGTAGCACTGAATTCACATTGGAGTTGAAAATCCGGACCTTATTTTCATTTTCATGCTGAGTGCTGTTGATCTCCTCCACACAGACTTGAGAGTAGTGAAAGCTTGTCTTGCTTTCCCGATCCTCGCCGCTTTGATATCCTCATCGGTTCCGTTCGCCTGTAGTTGAAACGATGCTTCCCAGGTCTGTTGGTGAAGGAGGTTGTTTCTTTCAGGTTCCTCCCATTTATGCTGGCTGATTGTTGTCTGTTGTTGTTATTGCTATTGATGGTGTTGGTGTTGGTCAGGAATCTTCATCACCTCTGTTTTCTCTATGTCAACCTGAACTCCTTCCTATCTCCTCTGGATGCTTCTTCTGCCAACTTGCTGCTTTTCGCTTGCATATCTTTCAGTTTGTGAGAAATCAAACATATATCATCGGCGAAGTCCAGACCCTGCAAGTATTTTGTGTGAGTCGATTTTATGCCCGTTTCCTCGCTTCCCACCGCTGTTTGTCGCATTATCCAGTCTACTGCAATCAGGAAAATCATTAGTGATAGTAGGCAGCCTTGTCTTACTCCTGACGCTCGCCGACCATGCACATGGTCCGGGGTTCGATCCCCGGTCAATGCACTCAGCGTCGGTGGCACAGCGGTTAGGATAGGAAGATTAAACAAGGAAATTGTTTACCTAGTGACTTACGCAGTGAATCATCGTCGGCAATTTCACTCATTGTAATCATATCCGCTTTGATTGGATGGTTAAAATGAGCAATTTTCAACTGACGGTTAAATCCGTATAGAGCGACACCTTCTCTGGGGTTACTGAATGACTCGTCAAACCAAATAATTTGACATAATTTTGTGTTCATATTAGATGTGAGTTGTACATTCCACTCACACGGTAACTCATAAATACTTGAGGGATATTTTACCAATGCGGTATTAATTATATCCTTAATTATGACAAAGAAAGAAAAAAAGTATCTTAGAAGGTTATTAGCAGAGAGGGATAATACAACACTAACAAAAATATAATCAAACACATTTTAATTCATTATCGCGTTGTTAAGTTACAGTAGTTTTTATTTGTCATTGTTGTTAACAACGCATCCTGTGTTAAAGTGTCATCTGTTTCAAGCGTTGGTTTGCAGGATTTGAGGGGTTTCACACTTGAGAGAAGGACTGCAAAACTTGAGAGTACTCGACAACTGTACTGCCTATTTTTCGGACTCTTCATCTGTAGTAACCACACAAAGGATCGAAGTCACGACCCTCAGGTTGCCGTGCAAGTCGTTTTTTCATTCAGTCACTGGGGGCAGAATCTAACAGCTGGTGAATTCAAACTTCTATAAGCCAGTGTCATCGGTATTTATCCTGACACCCAACACTTGTTGGACCCCACTTATGACTCCGTCTCACTAGAATCAGTCACTAGTGAGAATCAAGCTAACTTTCGAGTTCGGTGTGTGTGTTTGCAGGGATTTGAGTGGTCGCGAACTGACTGTTCAATACTCCCTGGTTTTCAGTGGTCCTCTGACTGAAATTAGTTCGTGATCAAACTCAACAACCACTTCCTTGCGTAATCAGTTCAATTCCTTTTTTTACTAGAAGTTTACTCAGGTTGATTAAAATGTTGACGATGTATTAACTGTGCTTCCCCGTGACTGTTTTGTTTTGTACCTGGAGCTTTTTTTAATTCTGTGATTGTCATATTTATGTTATTCCGTACTGCTAAATCGTCCTTGTTCTACTTAGACATTCCAGGGAGTTTCCATTAGGTGTAATTTAGTTTTTTTAGAACCTACAGTGACCTTTTTATCACTAGAATTACCTAGAAAGGTTGTTATTCCCTTTGATGAAAAGTTTCATTTTAGAGTGGTTTCAGATTGTGATTGTAATTTCTACAACTCAACTTTTTATTCTGTAAGGATATCGTTCGGTTCAAAGAACACATGAATTATATATGTCCAAACCAAGTTCACTTTTAACGGTTTGAAAAAATTTTGGGCATTATAATAAATGTCTTTTGTATTTCCCAATGAATGAAAAACAAAACGATATTGTTGTTTTTACTGACGTTTTGCTATTTAATGCTAATAGTTTTATCAAAGTATTATTAAACCGGAATTTACAAATCTCAGCATTCGAAAATAACATCTTTTCAAGAATACTCACTCCTAAAATATGGTTAAGATATGTAGATGATACTTTTGTAGTACTAAAACGAGATCTACACAATTCATTCCTGGAGAAAATAAACTGTGTATCTCCCAGAATCCAGTTCACTTCGGAAGCAGAATCAGACATCAGTAAACTACCATTTCTAGACTGCCTCGTTAACAGAAAGGAAAACGGACAGTTTAGTATATCCATATTCAGGAGGAAAACCCGCTCCAATACATATTAAGACTTCAAATCATTACACCCCATCAGGGTAAAGATTTCAGTTGTTTCAAGTATTCTTAGACGAGCAAACTCTCTGACAACGGATAAGAAAGAAAAAGAAGAAGAAATATCAAACACTAATGAAACTCTCAAGCAAAACAACTACCCATGGAACTTCATCAACAAAATCACCACAGACATTAAGTATGGCCGAAAACGCATTCCGAAAACATGGACCTCGACAGTCGTCATTCCATATAGAGCAGAGACGTCAGATGATATCAGAAGAGTACTCAATCACCTCGACATTTGAGCTTTATTCAAAACATCAGACACACTACGAAACAACCTTGTCCATATAAAAGACTAAATCCATAAAGATTCTCCATCTATAAAATAAAATGCTTGGAATGTGATGCCATATACATCGGATAAACATCTAGAGAAATCGAAATCAGAAGAAATGAACATCGTAGAGCATCTCTTCGACCACCGAGAGATCCGGTTGAACTAGAAAATCTTCAGAAATCACAAAGAACTTCTAATATCAGAAGCACGAATGTGGTATTCAAGTTCACTATGTAAATATACACTGCTTTTATAATTTTACACACTGATCAAATCCAACAATCCACACTTGATTTTGTTATCTTTACCAATTGACCAACTTGACAACGAAAAGTGCCCCCAGACTAACGAACGATGATCAAGTTAGTAAACTTTGTTTTGATATCATAACAGACGTACTATTACCTTTGTTATTTGGTTTAGTGATCTTCATTGGTATTCTGACTTTCAATATGTCCTTTAAACTTGACCTAAGTAGTCTATTTTCTCACCTCCTAACTCTGTGTTATATATATATATATGCTGAGATTTTGTAAATTCCGGTTTAATAATACTTTGATAAAGCTATTAGCAGCATTAAATAGCGAAACGTCAGTAAAAACAACAATATCGTTTTGTTTTTCATTCATTGGGAAATACAAAAAGCATTTATTATGATGAACACATGAATTGTTTTTACACCAATCGTTGGTAACAAAAAGCATTTTTTAGTGGATATGTTGAATGGTTCCTAGGAGGTGTTCATATCTATATTTATATTTAATTTCGGTTTAACTGAGTGCCATACCGCATAGCTTGTTTTTGAGTTGGTTTCTTCTTCTCGTGTCTGGAAATCATTGTATTCTTAACCTTTGCTATGTTTTTTCATTTGCTCTGGTTGAGTATTTACTTAGTGTTCATTGAATCGTTGTGCATTACAATGGCAGCTAGTCCAGTATACTCGTTATATTTCATTCTTTCCAATTTCTTTTTTATGAATCACTTTTGATCCCAGTTACTGATCAGTTTTACTGAATCCCACGGATCGCATTATGTTTTCAGGCTTTTATTAAGGTTCAGGCAATATATGTAGTTATTCCTTCCAAATGTCAGACTGTCAATTTCAGTTTCCGATGTAAAAGAAAGTTAAATGAAGCCGCTGGTTCCTATGACCCTTGCAAAATCGATGATACTGATATAGAAACCAAGTATGAAGTTAAGTATCTTGGTTTAATTCTCTCTTCTGACCTATCCTGGTTCTCTCATGTCTCAGCGATTTCTAAAAGAATATTTCGTCTGACTTTTTACATTAAGAAGTTGAGGCACTCAGGCATAACTCAACCACTCCTCTTACAGTTTGTCAACTAGTGTATTTTACCTATTCTTCTTTACTGTTCACCCTTATTTTTTCCTGGATTGCTTAAAAAGAACTATGTCATACTTCGTAGAACTCTGAAGACTGTCAGTAGGACGAGTGGTATCTCATTGGGCCATATCGTTGGCATTGTCACTGATAGGCACTTGATGTCATGCAACAAATTCGCTGAAGGAATTTTGTCAGACTCTGAGCACCCAATCTACCCGCAGCTGCAACCTTGTGTCTCCTCAGGCAAAACAAGAAGTCTTTTCAGAGGACTTTATGCACGTACGGCTAAATATAAAAATTCCACTGTACCATATTTGGCACGTACTTTATGTGATGAAAATAGTGTCAGAAATGAATTAACTAACCTTCTTAGCACCACTAAATAGACCATTTCCTTCAACCTTAAAGCATCATAGTTCATTGCTATTGTATTTCTTATATTTATAATCCTCTCAATTTTTTCGTTTTGTTTATTTTATTTTTCATAAGTGTGGACATAATTTTAGGCTGTATTATGACTGTTAACTTTGTATTTCACCTCACTATACTATATCAACAGAACATTAGACCCAATTGTCCATAACATGCTAGAATTTTCAAACTGAATTGACAATACCGTTTGAAACAAACTCACTGTTATTATTATTATTATTATATTTAATAATCTCAATTCATGCTTTGAATATTTTTGAATTTATGTCGTAAATGTGGACAAATTCCTCGGATTAATTTTTGTTTTAATTTTTAATTTTATATATATTTTGAGTAAATCAGATGCAATATTGTGACAAATGCTGAGAATTCCATTCTGTATCATAAATACTGTTTTTGGAATAAAGTAAATTATTATTATTATTGTATTAGTCTGCATGATTGTTGAAGACTTTTTATACGACAGTGCATTATTCAGTGTATTCATCATGCATAGTTATACGCAGAAGTAAAAGTTTTAGGAAGTCACTTCTAAATGAAAATTATTTTTCTAAATTATTTTATATAAATCATCATTTCTTGATGTGTTTTTTGTGTTATGTGATGGATTTCCATGTGTTTGAACAGTTCTGGTGTGGACTTATTCTTATTGGTCAGAGTAGAATTATGTTGGAAGTGTATGTAACCGCATTCTTATATTTTCTGATGTTGCAATCAGTATATCAAAAGATAACATCGCCTAGATAACTAGCTCGCTCCATACTGAAGATCAAATGGCCGGAAAGAATCACCAACAACAAACTATGGGAAGAAACAAAACAAGAACCGATCGCCCAACAAATATGCAGGAGAAAGTGGAGATGGATTGGACACTCACTGGCTGAGGAGGCCACTCGCTGGGTGACATCGCGAGTCAGGCTAGCCATAGCTCGAATGGAACGCGAAAGGGAAGCGGCGGCGAGTGAGACGTCAGTGGAAGGGTGACATGGAGGAGATCGTGTGAAGAGGAGTTGAAACAGTATGGACTAACATGGATGGAGGTAAAAAGTACAGCAGAAGGCAGAAGCAAGTGGAGAGGTGTAGCTGAAGCGCTATGTTCCACTAGGAACCCAAGGGAACAATAAAATAATAATAAAAAAATATTTCTGACATTTTGGACGGGAGCCTGAAAATATACACAGACTTCAACATTAAATAACTAAAAAAGGCTTTGTGGAGAGAACGGCTTTTATTATCATCCATCATATATGTGAAGACAGCATAAAGGTGAAATTTTTACTTTTCTGAGGATCAGCAGATATTCAACTTCTCAAAGCACACAACAATAATTTATCTTTTGAAAATAAATAACATGTTAACAGAACTCGTCAGACAGTTGAAACTGCAAACTTTATAAATGTGGTTGTTTCTGAGTAAGCTTTTAGAAATTTACTGTTTAATGGAGGTTACAATCAAGTCCAAATTAAAAAACATGAAGTGAAGTAAATGAATGAATAATCCTCAAAAAGAGAGGCAAAGAAGCGACGAGTATGCAAGTTCTGAATGATACCGAATATATATATATATGTATAGTAAAAACTAACCTGGTCTGCTAAACTTGCATGAGATATCCGTAACAATGCAGATTTTGTTGTTCTGTTCCAGTGTTCTGACCAATGAAATTTTCTGAGACGATCAAGGTGTAACAACATAACACCAGTGTTGTAACCTGATCTCTTATTAAAAATAAACATGTAAAAAAAAGATACACAAGTTTAAAATTGGGTTCTGACTTAGGTTGTTACGCCTGATGTAAATTTAATAAATATCAGGTAAGATAACTCTACGAAAAACTTGATAACGATGGGCCAAATGATGTGGCAGCTAGTGAGTGATGAATGAAAGAGAAGACAGACAAACGTCGTTAGACTAGCAAAAATACCCTAGAAAACCTGCGCATTTCTTGGATGATTTATTGCTCAATGTCTCAAAATCTCGAAGATATGAATACGGAAACCAACAATTTGACGGAAAACAAAGACAAAGTCAGGAAGGATTTCAATGGGAACATACAGAAGATAGAGGCGATGACTATTCACAACCAAACAATAACAAACACCAATCACCTTTACTGAGGGAAACAACTGAAGAAAGTTGTCTCTTCTACTTAAGTGACCCACAAGAGGTGCGGAAGTGGATGCCACAACCAGGATAGGAGAGGAAGGTCAAGTAAGGCGTTTATTGCCCTGAGATTAGTGGAGCAATCTAAAGCACTCAGTACAAAGAACATTAAATGTCAAGTTTGTGCTTTTATATGGTTCAGATACATGACACGCTAGTCTTAAAAAGCATTTCCGATAGGTGCCTGCGAACTTCTTTTTGACACCTACTTTCATTCGATACTGAAAACCAGATAGCCCGTTAAGAAAAGATAAGCAAACAAACGAATTTTGGCAGAGAAGCATCCCGATCATCCTATTGTCTAACACTTATGCAGAAGGATATGCAAGTAGATTGGACGTTTGTTAGAGAGATGTTGATGTCACGTTGATATCACACGCGAAGCAGGCACTTGAGTGGATGGCGAATGGGAAGTGACAAATTTACTGCGGTTCCGAGGGTGCCATAGAGATCATGAAAAGAAGAAGAAGAACTGAATGATTCTGAGCAGTCTTGGAGTCATTTAGAAATGATGGCAGAGTAAAATGTGGAATAGAGATGTGTTTTTGAAACCCTAAGTCCTATCTGGAAATCATGGAACGAAAATAAAATTAAAATACATGTTCTCAATGTCTCATATTAATGCTGTTCCCCAGCCTTGTATTATTATTGTTATTATTGTTTCCTTTAATTCCTAGAGGAACATAGGGATTCAGTCCTGTGTCTCCATTGCGTTCGGTTATTTGCCAACGTTTTCACCTGGCTCCAAGTCTGCCCACATGCTTTCATCTCCTCTTAACATCACCTCCTCAAAGTCACCCACACTCGCACTGATCACCAACTCGCCGATTCCCTTTCGGGTTCCGCTAGAGCAATGGCTTGTCTAGTGATGTCACTTGATGGTTTGTTTAATGGTTCTCAGAGTATGGCCAGCCAATCCATCTCCATTTCTTCCTGCCTATTTGTTTCACAATCGGTAACTGCCGGGTTGGTTTCCTCCCACAGGTCCGTATTGCTGATCTTTTCTGGCTGGCAATCTGATCTTGAGTAGTAGTGAGCGAAGACAGCTGTTGATGAAGGTCTGTAGTTTGTTTGAGGTGCTGTTCATGACGTGCAGTACAAGTCTCTGATCCGTATAGTGAGTAGCACTGACTGACTTCACATTGGAGTTGAAAATCCGGATCTTATCTTCGTTTTGATGCTGAGTGCTGTCGACCTCCTCCACACAGACTTGAGAGTAGCGAAAACTTGTCTTGATTTCCTAATCATCGCTGCTTTGATATTCTCATCAGTTCTGTTCGCCTGTAGTTGAAACGATGCTTCCCAGGTAGGTAAGTAGGTAGGTAAAGAAGGTTGTTTGTTTCAGGTTTCTTCCATTTATACTGGCTGATTGTTGTCTGTTGTTGTTTCTGTTGGTGGTGTTGGCTAGGAATCTTCATCACCTCTGTTTCTCTATGTTCACCTGAACTCCTTCCTATCTTCTCTGGATGCTTCTTCTGCCAACTTGTTGCTTTTCGCTTGCATATCTTCCAGTTTGTGGGAAACCAGAAATATATTATCGGAGAAATGCAGATCCTCCCAGTATTTTGCGTGAGTCAAGTAAACATCATATTCAAATATCAGCACTTTTCTACACCATTTCCTAATTTATTCCTTTATTATTTGTGATATATGATTTCATATTAGTTGTCACTGAATAACATTAACAACTGACCTCCAGTGGCATTTCCCATTACCTTTCAGTAAAATAGTTTAACCGTAAAGCTTTGATGTGGAATTATGAAAGTGATATATCCCTGACTAACCTGTCCATTTTCAATATATTTGAATTGACCACCTGCATGTGGAAAGAATAAATAACATGTGCATATAGCACACTGATGTAATATAACAGAACATAATAAACAGCCATCTGAAAGTTACCTACCCATGCAGGCCATACGACTCTATTGGTTTTTCTTAAATACCATGGACTTTGATTCGCAACTAATCCTATCATCTGCAATAGAAAATGAAAGTAATAATACAACTGAAAAATGAGTTCTCTTTTATTGTGAATGTTCTTTTTAATGTTCTTCTCTTTACAAAACCCTTCAAACTTGTAATTAATTAATTAGTGCTAAAAAGTTCTTTTTCTAATTAATAAATAAATAATTGCCTTGATTAAAGAGTATCATACTAGTACTTGTATGAGAATAATTCTGTATAGGCAACAAGGTCAACAATGGTTCCTTATTCAGGTATCTGGTCTTACTATTGACCTATTTGCTTACTTTATTTAGTCTTCTGTTTTGTGAAATCAATTTTAACAGCTTAGCAATAATTCATCTTATTTTGGCACCGGTTCGGAACTTAGCGTAACTAACCATGGATGTCAGTCAGGTCACGGATGGTTGTCAGTAAGTCAACATTCTAACCATCCCTCTTTACTGCTCCCCATTAATCTTTCCTGGACTACTTAAGAAAGACTTTGCTTTGCTGCGTAGGGCACTAAAAGCTGTTAGTAGGGGAAGTGGGATTTCGTTAAACCAACTGGTTAACACTATTGTGGATAGACATATAATGTCATGTAAGAAACTAGCGAATTCTATATTGTCAGACACCAAACACCATCTCTTTACGCAGCTCTCTCCTTGCATTTCATCTGGTAGAACTAGAAGCGACTATAGGAAGCTATATGCCAGGACTACCAAGTATAAAAACTCCACAATACCTTATCTGGCACAGCTGTTATGTGATGAGAAATCCGTTAGGTATGACACGATCAACTTACTGAGGCACTCTAACAAATAGTTCCCATTAGCTTTTGTTCTCCTTTCTTTGTTACTATTATATTGATGCTCACATATTCTATTACACACTAATTTTATATTTCATATCCTGTGGTGCATTGTTTAAATATGTGAATGCAATGCTGTTAATTTTTTATTTCTTTTATTTCTCTTTTTTTCTTTTTGTTGTTGTTGCATTTTATTTTTAAAATCTTATAAAATTTATGAGGTAATTAGATGCAATATTGTAATGCACGCTGAAAATTCCATACCTGTACCACAAATACTGTTTGGAATAAAGCTATTATTATTATCATTCCTAAGTTCAGCTTTTACTGCCAACTGATTCTGTCTGCATCAAAAAGACATCTTATGATAATTTTTTACTGTATAAATAACTAAAATTTCAAGTACTTTTTGGAAACAGAAGTTATGCAACTCTGCTAAAATTGCTTTGATTGGACACTAGTAAGTACCTAGGGTCATGCGTCTAGGTCTTTTGTGTGGTCACATACTGACACATTGTTTGACGAGAATATCAAAGCAAGAATCGGAAAAGCAAGAAAAGCTTTCATTACTCTCAAGTCTGTGTGGAGGAGGTCAACAGCACTCAGCATCAAAAAGAAGATAAGGTCCGATTCTCAACTCCAATGTGAAGTCAGTCACTGCTACTCACTATACAGATGGATCAGAGACTTGCACTGCGCGTCATGAAGAGCATCTCGAACAAACTACACACCTTCATTAACAGCTGTCTTCGCTCAATGCCACTCAAGATCAGATGGCCAGCCAGAAAAGATCAGCAACACAGAGGGATCTCTGGCAATGAGCGAACTAACTCAGCAGGAACCGATTGTGAAACAAATAAGCAGGAAGAAATGGAGATGGATTGGCTGGCCATACTCTGAGGAAACAAACCATCAAGTGAGTGACATCACTAGACAAGCCATTGCTCGAGTGGAACCCGACTGTATTGGAAGCGGCGAGTTGGTCGCCAGTGCTAGGGTGGATGACTTGTAGGAGGTCATGTTTAGAGGAGATGAGAGCGTGTGGGGAGACTTGGAGCCAGGTGAAAGTGTTGGCGGAGAGCTAACCGCAATGGAGACGCACGGCTGAAGCCCTATATTCCTCTAGGAATTAAAGAAAATAATAATAATTGCAAAGTTCACTGCTAGAATTTATTCAGCACCAAACAAAGGACTAGACTCATGATTCTAGTTACTACTAACTAGTGTCCAGTCAAACTATCTAATACAGTCCTACAGGTGGTGGTCAGTAGCTTAGTGGTAACGACTCTGACTGCAGCACTGGGTGACGCGGGTTTGAATTTGCAAATGGGATCTGAGTCCCTTCTAGATTGCAGATACACTCCTTGCAGACGAGTACCAACAAGCGTGAAACCTGGGTCCAAGGCTTCCTTCCTTCTGATTGATTCCAACTATCTAATAACAACAATATATATAATCTTCTATGTCATAATATTATTACAAAAAACATACATTTTGAATATGATCCTGCAATAATAAGAGTAGGTTAATTTGTGGTTAACCTTACCGAAACAAACTGTAATTTTATTTTTTTTTAATTTTTTGATTATAGCTTGATTCCACACAGTATTTCCAGTATAAGTATGGAATTTTCAGCATGGATATCGGTAGCCCGAAATTAGCAGGCCGACCATTGATATCGGGTGTGCGTCGGCGGGGGATCGAACCCTGAACCATGTGCATGGTCGGCGAGAGTCCTAACCACTGTTCGTTACTAAATCTACCTTTAAATAAAAAAACCTGGGAACAGAAGTGTTACGCTATCGTTAAATATCATACATAAGTTGGACGTTTAAGCAACAAGAAAACTAACCTGGGACGAGTTAAACTTATCAAAGTACCTCCAAAGTTCCAAAAGATCAGAATTTACTAACAGATCAATATCAAGACTTATCACCTGAAATATAATGAATACAAGATTAAAATTTTTTGAAAGTGAAATGTTACGAAAAATATATCTATCTGTTCAGAGAACCTAAAGATTTTTACTGACTCTATGATCTTCCAAGTGAATTTTATAAATGATTTGATTTTTTTATTATTTTGATTATAGCTTGAAACCACACAGTATTTTTCTTACATGTATGGAATTTTCAGCATGCGATAACGGTAGCCCAAATTTTGCAGGACGACCACTGATATCAGGTGTGCGTCGGCAGGAGATCGAACTCCGGACCATGTGTATGGTAGGCGAGAGTCATAACCACTGTGCCACTGACGCACACCAACGCTTCTTCTATCTGTTTTATTTCGTCGTTTAGGTCTTTTTTTGTGCTACTTAGTGCCATTGCTCGGTTTGTTAAACACTTAACTAAGCCAGCCTTCACATACAGTTAACGGGTGAGATGAATTAAAGAGGTCTAAATATCTATTAGAATGCGTTGGTTTTCTATAAACACTAGTGTGTAGTTCGCCTACTTCTATTCGTTTTATTTTATAATCTAACATAACTAATTCTCCTTGCTCATTTTCGGCTTCAAATGTGAATTTTATTCCCTCCACTAAAGAGTTTATGTGTGTCAAGAAGCTGGAGATATGTTCTCATTTCAACACTGTCCGTCGGTGGCACAGTGGTTAGGACTCTCGCCGACCATGCACATTGTCCGGGGTTCGATCCCCTGCCGGCGAACACCCGATATCTATGGTCGGCCTGAATTTGGGCTACCGATATCCATGCTGAAAGTTCCATACTTGTACTGAAAATACGGTGTGGAATCAAGCTGTAAATCAAAATAAAAAAAATAAATATCTCCACCATATTTTTGGAGTAGAATTAAACGTATTGAGAGCCACATTTTCCCAGCTATCCATAAATATATCTGCTACGATAGGGGATAATGGTGATCCATCCTATTGCTACACCTTCTGTTTGTCTATATATTTTACCTTGGCATTTAAAGATAGTAGATGTGAGCAATAACACTCGTATTATTATTTCTGAATGTACATTATCTCATACTGAATTTTATTCCAATATCTAATCGATTCCACACATGTATATAAATGAAGGATAAAAGTTGTGTGAGTGATGAGTGCCTAGATATGATTATGAGTGGCAATAGTTTGTGCTCGAAACGTCATCAGTAAATATTACTGTACAACACTGTGTGATTTTCAAGTATTGGTTTTGTAGCGATTTTGTTTGATTGCATGGAGGATTTCATCATGAGCTATGTCGTGAATTGGCAGAAATTAGAATTCAAGGACAATTGGATCGGGTCCCAGTGGCTCAATGGTCTACAACTTGCCTTGTAGCACAAGTCTGGTTCCAATCCGGTGGTGCGTCTGACGAAGAGTCAGAAATGATCCTACTCCAGGTTTCCAGTGGTTCTCTAACAGTGTGATTTATCAAAATAAAAAACTCTTTATGGATATTTAGCTGAAATCCTTTGGATCTATTAAACTGAATAGAGAAAGTAGATTGATGCGATATGCAGAATGTGGGTCCAGCACCACCACCACACCTCACAAAATGATAAAGTCACCTCACATATGACAAGCACGTTCTATTACGAGAATACACAGTGACTCTATAACTATTGCACTGATCATGTCTAGCAGTTTGCACATTTTTATCTTTACTAATTTCGTTCAGTTGACAAGGCACTTTTACCATATACAAAAAATCCGTATCTGAGTTACCATATATGATCTAAAATATATAGTGAATTCTGGTTCACCGTTAGTTTGATAAAGTCATCAACGAAACGTCTTTGAAACCAACACTGTTTTTTTTTCATTCACTGGGAAATATAAAATGCTTTATAACAAGGAAATTACACTGTTTAAATTGAATCTGGTGACAATTGAAATAAATCTAAAATCCCCACAAATCCTCTAGTCTATATACCAATCTCCAGTTCACTGAGGACTACAGGATAGATTTCCTGAAGCTGAAGTGATAAGCCGTCACCAGTGAGGTACACTATTTCAGGATTTCACGAAGTGGATGCTCATCTAAGGTATTGGTGAGGGCAGTTTTATATCATGAATCCACAAAGCTAGAATTCACGGGTCACTGCATTCCAACCCAGTTGGCTGAATGTGATTAACGACCTTGGTCTCGTCACCTGCAGGTTGCGGCTTTGATTCCTGGTGAAGTCTTAGGAGAGCACTGTGAAGAGTGCCGAAACGGGACGAAACAGTTGTCTAGTGCTCCCTGGAGAATGAAGCAAACTTTACAGAATTTAAGGAAGTGAGTAGGCGAAGTAAACAACACAACAGAAAACTGAGTTAGCGATAGTACAACAACCAACTGATTTTAATACTTCCACGAATATAAAAGAAGATACTATTTTCAAATAATAATTAATCAAATGAATGGCTTACTTTTTCAACAGAATCTGGTAGAATTTCTGGGATCAGCAGTTTCGATAAACCAAATATCCCAGAATAATGTGTACTTGGTATCCATGATACTTTATTCTAAAGAGAATATTGAAAACGGATTAATTCAATAATTTAATTTATACATGAATGTACATTAATTAATCAATACAAATGTTGAATATTCATTTTACAAAATGACACACTGATGAGTGACTCAAAAACCTTTAAGTCTTAATTCCATATTAGTTTGTTTATTAGATGTATCACACACACAGTGAAACAGTATTACCGTTTACTGGATGACACAGTTTCGAACAAAATTTATTACTGTTCATAATCATATCATCAATTATAATCACACGACTTTGAGACTTGAGTTTTATAGTTTTCTTTGTCTTCTCCTATTTGTCGTCGTTGGGGTAGTAGAATTTTCCAAATGTCTGGGTGGACAGGTGTTGAATCATTCCTATTACACGTACTCTCTTCAGTTGATTCGATAGACAGAGCTTCTATTATCAGTGTCTCCATACACCCTGTGACATTAGATTGTAAAACTGTTATCTAATCCTATGCATCTTAATGCATGGTTGTGTGTAACTGCATGTAGTGGTCTATAGCTGAACTATTCTCTAGATTGGGACAATGTTTGAATATTAGACAGAGGAAACAACAGGAATGCTAGAGAATTTTTAGAAGCTTGGCATTCCAGTGAATCATCAATCAATATACACACCGAGATTGACAAAATTTATCAACCGATAAGAAAGAAACCTCACACACAAAGGGTTAAAGTTCAGGTCAAAGAAACAATCCGTTTCAAGACAAGTAGCCTAGATGGTGTGAAAACGCACAAAAACAACCAATCAAGTCCAAGGTCATCGGGAGAGATGATTATTAAACTCGTGGAGAAATCTAAAAGCTCACTTCATTGAATTGAAGTATGCGCTGAAGATGTCACCTAGTAGGGTGATGAAAGCTTCGCAAATTAACTACCCAGCTCAGAGAACACAACCACATCAAAATCATCCACCTGATCTACAAATCTTCTCCATCATATCTACATACGCATATTTCTAATTAGCTCCTAACGTGAGTTAGGCTTCATAAGGTAAATTCCGAAGGTTTCAGATATATATGCATAAAAAGAAATTATATGGTAAGACTGAGACTAATTGGAATACAGCACGCTACTTTAAAAGCCTTCTTCTTATCATCGGCTTTGTGTTCACAGTCTACGCGATGAGTTAATACACAGCTGTGGATAGTTCTTGTATGTCCCTTGCTAAACAACGCAGGATGATATTCAGAAATCCGACTACATAACTACACATACTTGCACGCCAACTATAACTGGCCCTACAGGAACAATCAAAATGATAAGAACACATAGAAGAGGCACAATTAGGTAGTTTACCCTTAACTCCTTAAAGTGGAATTGAAGTTGGTGTGAAGAGACAGTGAGCTTCTCTCTGTGGCATTGAATACTCTTTTTATCGCATTCCTTAAGCATTGCGTTATTTTTTTATTCCTTCACGTTCCTAGTGGAACATAGGGCTTCAAGCTAGAGGCTTGAAGTTTCTGTGGCAGTGTTTATTTTTACAGGATGGGGTTGCTAGACACATGCCCAACCTTTCCTCTTCACCATCTTTTAGTTCTGGCTTAGCTAGGTAAAGGAGTGTGTCGGCCGAAGATCGAACCCGGGACCATGTACATGGTCGGCGAGAGTCCTAACCGCCATGCGAAGACAACTGTTAATGAAGGTCTGTAGTTTGTTTGAGATGCTATTCATGACACGCAGTGCAAGTCTCTGATCCGTGTAGTGAGTAGCACTGACTTCACACTGGAGTTGGAAATCCGGATCTCATCTTCGTTCTCATGCTGAGTGCTGTTGACCTCCTCCACACAGACTTGAGAGTAATGAAAGCTTGTCTTGCTTTTCGTATCCTCGCTGTTTTGATATCCTCATCAGTTCCGTGCGCCTGTAGTTGAAACGATGCTTCCCAGGTCGGTTGGTGAAGGAGGTTGTTTCTTTCATGTTCCTCCTATTTATGCTGGCTGATTGTTGTCTGTTGTTGTTGTTGTTGCTGTTGGTGGTGTTGTTGTTGACCAGGAATCTTCATCACCTAGCACAACACGATGTGACCCAATGAATTCTACTTAATTTTTAGCAACAGAAAGAGTATTCTGGTGCAGAGTTTTATTTATTTCAGGGAAAAATGGAATAAAACTTGTTTTAAAAGAGAAACAATAGCCTGTGAACACAAACACACATACCACTCACACCTTCATCTCCATGTAATCATTAAATAAATAATTAATGGGAAATTTTTATTTGTCTTAACAAAACAAAAGCATGAACTAATACATCATTTTAGAGAGTGACACAATTGTTAAAGTTGTTGTTTTATTCATCGAGTATAAAGAAGAAGTGAACATGCAATTGATCATTTACAATGAAAAGATCCATTTAAAGTTTATGTAACCTTATGTAATCTGACAAAGATGAATTTGTTATTTGTTAAGATGAAGCTAGATGAAGTTAGTAGAGTTGCAAACATTCCACTTATTATTTCTACTGAAAATGTCTACTCCTTTACATTTATCATCTCAATCAATTTGTTTTTTTTTCTGTTCTACTAATTTAGCATTATATATATATACTACTAATAAATACTACCTATCTGTGTTACATTAAACTGGAAGGCGAGGTTATTTCTTACAAAACTAATCAATAATTGGTTACAGGATTTCATCATGAGCTGACATTGGTTAGAGAACCACTGGAAAACCAACTGGGAGTACTGGACAGCTGTTTCGTCCTAGTTTGCGAGTCTTCATCATTACGCGCCCACCGGGATTCGAACCCAGGACCTTCTGGTTATAAGGCAAGCTGCATACTGCTGAAGAGTCCGAAACTAGGAGGAAACAGCTGTCCAGTACTCCCAGTTTGTTTTCCAGTGGTTCTCTAATTGATGTCAGCTCATGATGAAATCCTCCATGCAATCAAACAAAATCCTTGCAAAAACAATACTTTAAAATTCAAATTATGACTTAATTGATTAAAGTTATAGACAAGAAAATATATATTTCTAAAAACCGGTATTTACCTCGTATTCCTCCAGATGGTAGTAGTACACATTGATATTAGGTATACTCCATGTTTTAAATAAGACACTGAGACTTCTATAAGCCAGATAATCAGTTAGTAAGTGTAAATTGATATGAGTAAGGTAACAGCTTTTACCACTGCCTTGGTTAATTAGTGGTGTTTCTTCTTTATTCTTAATGGACTGGTATAATGTATTCGACTGAGGAGGTATTGACGGTGTAGGTGATTCCTCTTGCCAGTTTCCTTGCCAGTTTCGATGAATAAGGATACTTTTGATCAATGTCACAAGTTGACGAGCAGCTTGTGCACCTCCAACAACAAATGATACGTCGATTGTGGTAAACGTCTTCTATGCATAGGCGAGAAATGCAAAACAATTGAGAATGAGTAGGTAGTTCGGTATTTTTTAAACTATATTTACTACTTATACCTATTTAAAAGTAGTATGCACTACACTGGTCATCTGACCCTTTTTGGATGGACATATTTTGTTGTATATAAAACATCAACTGTAAAATAAGTATTAGTATACATTCATAAATGGGTCAGTTTTGCTTTACTAAGTATCAAACAGTTTAAATATGTACCATAACTCAACTTTGCAGATGTTCAAAAACTCCCCGTCTATTCAAAGAGTATTAAAAACTGCTTTGAGACTCGAAAGTGAGATTTCTCTTGAGCAACCTTGCATTTCTTTCATTGTATGATCTTAACAGTCAGTATTCAAGTGGTAGTAACCCGTACAACTTTCTGGTCCTGGATACTCTTTGAAATCTGCAAGATTGATCGC